CGTACGAAACCCAACTGCCTAGTTTACACTACATTGTGTGAACCTCGCCTCATCGTTAGGGGGTAATCTTAAACGAAATTTCTGATCCGACATACTTTACATGTTACTTAATTAAATGTAGTAGAGCAGAACCAAATTAGATGGGGTGTGATGAAGCATCGAGTGATTGCGTCAACCTCCGCCTGACAACCCGGAATGTGCTATTGAATGCAGTGAAGGCGACCTTAACTGACCCCCCCCCACACACACACATGACGACGGCATTGGGGAGAAACTCCAGTCGCGGAGAAAAAAAACCGCTCAAGGATGATTTTTTTTTCAAGAAAAAAAAATACAGAATGCACAAAGAACAGGGCGAAACAAGCACCGGAGGTGCAGGTCGCGAAAATGGTCGTTCAAACCCATAAAAATGGAAAAAATTAATAGGGGGTGGGGCGGGGCGGGGCGGGGCGAGGGAGAGGAATCCACACTACACAGCCGCGCACAACAGGGATGCACGAAATCACAGAAACTGGGCAAAACGTCGTTCCCCAAATAATCACTGCAAGTATGGACTGCTTGAAAGACATATTGTAGGCTCTGAAAATGAAATGCTACAACTGAAAAAGCTATACAAATTTTAGAGTTGCTGAAAGTAAAAAGTTTGTGTAGAGCCGACGTTGTGAGGCTCCACACCAACCTCGGGATACACCGATTGGATGCGCCAAGAAAGGAGCCAAAAACTTAAATTTGTTGCATTTCCTTGCGGTAAGTCCCGACAGGCAATCATAAGGCATAAATTTAGAGCCCAGAGTATGGAAATTGGCAAAAAGGCAAAGAGTTAATCGAACAAAAAGAAGCGACCAATCAGCCAATGGCAAGAACATGTGAGTGTTTGTAGAACACGCGCTCAACCGAGATGACTTGCTCATGCCAAAAGTGGTTGGTTTTTTTGGTAAAATTAGGCTCTTTGGATAAGAAGCCACGATGGTCGAATTGTCACACAAATATCGCTTTTTCAAGGCTGGATGCGCATTTACGACCTGCCACAATGTCGCACACATAGAACGCGTTGTTATTAGTGATGATAACTGCACAAATGACCTACACACCCAGCGCACGTGCGCGTAACGATTTACCCATGGAAAGGCGGTAACTCATTGGATGAACAGAACTGATCTCCAAGCCTAACTAGGCAACTCACAGAGGAACCACTTTCCGCGTCACCTGATTGGCTGGTTGGTGCGAAGCGCAAGGCAAAGCTGGCAGAGTCCACACAAACCGGCATTCACGAAGACAAGCCAATTTCGGCGCCAGATGAAGGGATTCAACATGCCACTCATCGACAGCAGCGAGAAATGACTGCGGTTAATTGCTTTCTCATGTTAAAGTTGACATTAATTAGCGCGTTTATGTAAACATCAAATATCTACCTAAGACTCATTCTACCAGCATTTTAAGTCAAAAAAAGCAGCAGCTTGGCACTTTTAACCTACGCCAGCTTTATCTGTGGAAGTTGTGACGACTTGGCAACCGACATGAGCGAGGTGAAGTAGCATGGGTGTTGGAGAAGCCTGCGGATTTGAAACATGAGACAAACTCAAAATGAGATCACATGAGTTACTGTGAGGTAAGATTAGGCAAAGAAGGGAACCACCAAACAAAAAGCCTCCTGACTAGGCGGATTAATCTTATTTAAACACCCTCTTGTCGCGTAACCGAACAAATTTGCAGTTTCTGCGAACCCGGGTGAGCGAAATTACTCAGGTGATGGCATGGTGAGTCAACACATCTTGATAGCCAACCAACTCGAGCCAATTAAACGAGTACGAGCGTAATTAGAAATCGGCGCAATTTCCACTAGGTAGGGAAGAAAGCTGGATCATGAATGGTAATGTAGGAAGCATAGTTAGGGGTTCTAAACGAATTGGAAGAGCCCAATTCGCTAGGCAACGTACCATAATCGCCTGGGAAACTGTTGGTGGTGGTGGTAGTAGTAGGTAAGGTGTTACAGGAGTTCCAGTCACGAGGATCGATCTCCGTCCTCGTGGATTTCCAGGGGGATGTCGTTTTTGAAGAGGGCTGATGGAGGCGCTTCGTCTACCGGCCTGGCCTGAGCAAATTCAACAAAAAACGGTAACGAAAATGGGCAAAAAGTGGTCAAAATATTGATTGACGCGACCGAAGTTTGGACAAGGACTTCAGTAGATATTCACCTTAACAACGAATCAAATTCAAAGCTGAGGTGAACCAATGAGACGAGAGCGCGGTCAATACAAACTATGGCGAAATTTTAAATGCTACAAAATGCGTTAGAAAGACCGAACGTTAGATGTAATGAACGCCCAGGGTCACTAACGGCAACCTACGACACGTAGCATCGAAAACCAGTTAGTACCACGGGAATAACTTACGGGGTCTTCAGAATCAGCGACCTGAATTCGTGGTACAGACGAAATTTGAGTGTCAGTGAGATTGCCGCAATCTCCACCCTTCTGGTTTTCTTCCATAATGAATTTTCGTTGGGGATTACGACAGCTCTGGCCGGCGTCACCCAAAGCGGTATCTAAGATGCCACTGCCTTCAGGTGTCTCAGATTCTTGTGCACATTCAACGTCAACATGGTATGAAGGAGGACTCAAGCACTCGGTAGACGGTCGATGAATTGAAGTCACTGGATCTAATGACTCTCCGCCTTCCACGGAAGATTCAAGTGGAGGAGACGGTCTCGCGAGAACCAGGTTATCAGCAACGAGACCCGCAGAACGATCGACATCTGTTACGGACGGTTTCACCGCCACTTTTTCACCAGGTTGACTAATACCTTCCCAGGACAGTTTGCTTCGCTGGAAATCCTGATTGACCACATCCTCGGTACGAGACATTGGATTGAGGTCAAAATTGATATCAGCGAGTTCTTCGGAATTTGCCCAATCCAAGGGTTCGCCTAACTGATCCAACGATCCATCTGCTTCCGATTTTTGTGCGCATTCAACGTCGACATGGTATGAGGGAAGATTCAAGCACTCGGCAGACGGTCGATGAATTGAAGTCACTGGATCCAAATCCGCTACCAATGACTCTCCGCCTTCCACGGAAGATTCAAGTGGAGGAGATGGTCTCGCGAGAACCAGGTTATCAGCAACGAGACCCGCCACTTCGTCACCAGGTTGACTAATACCTTCCCAGGACAGTCTGTTTTGCTGGAAGTCCTCATTGACCACATCCTCGGCCCGAGACATTAGACTGAGGTCAAAATTGATATCAGCGAGTTCTTCGGAATTTGCCCAATCCAAAGGTTTGCCTAACACACCCAACGATCCCTCTGTCGAATCGGACTCCGGCACTTCGTCGGGTAGCCGATCAACTCTGGCTGAAGGAAGATCAGCCAGTTTATCGACTTCCATCGATTGCGTCCGGTTATGCCCACTCTCACATTCACTGGGCGCCGTCGAATGCGTAAGGTTAGCAATGGCGACGAGGTGTTCACTGGATTTACTAAACTCAACATCGCTCCAAAATTCACCAGTTGGAGGTGCAACTGCTTGGGCCGACTCCTTCCCAGATTCTCCTGAAGGATGAGACTGCCTGAACGACTCATCCACAGATGCAGCTGATGTGGTTGCTGGGTTTATAGGCGAGACGGAAGCAGTAGATTTATCGATCGATTGAAAGAGTGGACTTTCGTGCGTTTTAGTCGTTTCCAGAGAGAACTCTACACCCCTTGGCACCTCGCTACCCAATTCCTCAAGTGGAGCGACATCGAAAATGGACCCCGAGTTTTCAGGCTCATCTTTCTTAGAGACTTGGACGTAATCAGCCAACAAATGAACAGGCGGCTGTTGATCTTCATTGCCGACTGGCTCTTGTGGAAACTGCAACATTGTTCCCTCAGTTCGAAAAGCGACCTCCTTGAGCCATGATGAGGGGCTGGAACGAGTGTTGGAACCATCGAGGGAATGAATAATTGGCATCTCTGTTGGACCCTGTGATCTCACGGGTTCAGTTATGAGAGTAGAATGACCACCTCCAGCAAGTTCAGGCTCCTCGTTTAACTGCAGCGAGGGTTCAACATTCACCTGCTGAGCGCCAAACACGTCCACAGTCAACTTGGTATTCACAGAATCGTCAACTCTACGTGGTTCGAATGAGGCAACTTCGTCTCCCCAAGAAAGATGTTCCAGTGGGTTCACGGAAAGTGTTTTCGATGTTTCGAGCTCAGCAACATTCACATGCGAGGAGTTCGACAGTTTGGAGTCGTCCAAACTCTCATCCCAACCCAATGTGTCGATTTCACGTGATTTACTGTAGGACGACGGATGGCCAACTGAGTGTGTAACACAAGACAAGCTATCGTCTGCGATTTCTGATCTCCATCCAATTGGATCAGCAGAGACATTTGGTGGGACAGAACCGAGAACCCGGGAAACAGTCCAGTCATTTGACTCCGGTGAACAACGCTCAATAGCATTTCCAACGACAGCTGTTCGGTCATGACCAGTGGCGGTGGGGTCTGCCGATGCTTTACCACTTGACGCCGCGAAATCACATTGCCCAGTCTGCTGTGTGGTGCTCTGTTCTTGCGCAGTGGACAACATGCCTCCGTCACGAGCGTTCAGACGTGGCGATTGGCCAGGAGACCACGAGACACCACCACCGCCGCCGCCTTGAATCTCCCATTCACCATCACTCCAACGTTCGCTAGTATGCGCTTTACCCGCGCCCTCGGCCGCACCAGAATTGAATTCTTGTTCAGAGGTTAGGTGGGCCTCTTTGCATTCAGGCTCAGTCCTCTGAGGAATTTCGTTAACCCAGGTTAAGGATCCTTTAAAATCGCTAGCTGGCACTCGCTGGTCAGGCTGTTGGGGACTTGTATCTTCAAAAAGAGAATCCTCCGACTCATTGTCCGCGCTAGAATCTGAGGTGTCAGGTGGGAACACTTTGAGTGATGCCGCAGTCGCAGAAGCGGTGCATTCGGTAAAGGTTTGGTGTGAATCAACAACCAAATCAGCTGTGTGATCGTGACTTTCTGTGTCTACACCCTCATTGAGTCGATATTTTTGCATTGCCTCATCGAGCAAGTCTTCGGAACTTGAATTACCTCTTAGGGGTGGTGCTTCAGGCATGGGATTGGTGGAGGTTTGCAAGAATGCTTCAAATTCCATTGGCGGCTCATTTCCTAGAGCTAAAGAAACCATCCCATCGACGACCTGGTCTGCCTCTTCAACTGCTTCGTTAGTGGGTGCCACAGACATGTCTCCACGACGCTCCAGGAATGCATTTGGTGGATCTGTGAATTGCGACTGTTGAGAGGCAGGAAACACCGTCAATTCTCCAACGTCGCCACCTTCTGCTACAGCCGCATACTGAATTCCACCGTCAGGATGCCGCAGAATCTCTGAAGACTCCTCGTTCAAGGAAGCAGATAGTTCCTCCAAGTCTTTGTCAGTCGCCGCCTCGACTAGCAGCATTGGCTTGGGTCTATCGAGAAGAATTTCCTTGATATCGACGTCTTCGCTGTTGGTGAGTTCTTCGGACATGGACGCTAGAGGTGGCGACAAGGGTTCTTCGACGAAGACTGAGTAGATGTTTGGCGATGGTTTGTCTTCCTCAACTGGCGTCGGATTCTTGGTAGCATTGTATTGGAGATTCCGATTCCTGCGAAGGCAATCATCCAGCTCCCGCAGGAAGCCACGCATCAGCTCGCAGTCCTTCTACAAAAGACGAAGAAGAAGAGGTGATGGTAAAGCATTTGACGTTAAATAGAACGAATTTGAAACCACAGAAGACCGGACAAAATATGTCCGTGCTCACTTCGGTTGGTTGTAGGGAGGAGTTGCGAGCGTCTAACAAAAGAGTCACCAGGGTTCGATTAACCCCCATTGTCTTGGCCAGTGCCATCACACCGGAGATGTCGACGGCGTTCTGCCGGATGTCCAAGTAGGTCAAAGACTTGGTCTCTCCGAGGTATCCGGAAAGGGCAAAGATGCCTACAACACACCAGAGGGAGGGAGGGGGAAAGGTAATGCCCACAGCGAAGACCACCTCAGCCGTCAATCGGACAACTCACCACCGAATCCGATTCTAACATTTCTCAGATGCAGTTCACGCAACGTCGCGTTTCTGATCAGTCCCTCGCAGAGCTCTTCGACGCCGCTGCTGCCGATGCCGGGATTGTTGCTCAAATCCAAGTAGGTCAGTCCCCCGATGAGCGGAGACATGCGCTCCGTGGACTGACGAAGGACCACAGCGAGGTGGCGCGCTGCCAACGCAGTTAGGCTGTTGTCGGCCAGACAGAGACGCTCGAGGCCGCGGACGGTGGGCAGGGCGCAGGCCGGTGGCATGCTGCCAGTCTCTTGGCGATTCGTCGCCTGCGCAATCGCCGAGACGGCCACCTCGAGACGGTGCTGTTGCATCCGGTAGGCTTGAAGGAGACCCGAACACAGAACCTGCACTCCGTCGTCCTAGAATCACGTACTTCGCATCGTAAACCCGTGGGTCGTGTTTTCGAGAAGTGACCAATTGCACAATCGCACTCACTCGAAGGTTGTTCTGAGCCAAGTCCAGCTCCTCCAGGAAACCGCTTCCACCCGTAGGCTTGTTCACCGGGACCTCCTCGCCCGCAGGAGTTGGAGGGCCCGGCAGGAGAACCAGTTGATGGCGCACCAGCAGAAGGAGGGTCTCCGCGTCGAAGACGTTTAACCGGTTCTCCGGCAGGTGGAGACTCAAGCCCCAGGGAGCCGAGACCATGGGACCGCGGTAGATGAGGCGCGGACAGCGGCCGTTTGAAGTGGCAGCGCCGCCACCGTGGCCGGTGTAGGTGATCAGGTAGCGCAGCAGACGCACCAGCGCCAACAGCACCGCTCCGGTGAGAGAGCAGTCGCGGAATGTGAGGCACTGCAGCGACAGACCGGAGAGATTGAGGCCAACGAAGTTGTTCACGCAGAGTGCGGTGTGCGAGAGCTTGAACCGCTGAAGTGCTGAGGACTGAAGTTAAACACGTGTAGTTATTTAGAAGTGGACAGATTTACGGGGGCCGTTTGACTGGGAAACACGTGGAGCACAGACTAGACTGACGATGGTCAAAATCACTAAACTAGGAATCAGTTTTGGGAATAGGGAGAAGTGGCAATGCGAGCAAACCTTGCGAAGGTACGTGATACACCTGGGCCAGGCGACACTGGGGCCGGACTTCTCGAGGTTCAGGGAAATGGACAATTCCACGCAGGTCTCGTAGTGAAGCATCATGTCGAACAGCGCCGTTGCTGACTACAATGGCAGAAAGTGCAATGTCAGGGCCATGTGGGAGACACGTGACAGCCTTTTCCAACCAAACGTCGCCACAGACGATTGAGCTCTTGCAGTGTCGAAGTGGAACACGATGTCTTTGGAATGTGCCAATTCTGGGTGGTCGCGCTTTGATTAACTCCCAACCAAGTGTCATTTGTTGTTGACAGTAAGCATGGTGATTGACCGTTTGGTTGGTTGAAAGCCTGGTCAAAAAACACAGCACTTTTGGACACTAAAGGTTAACAGGAAAGGAGGCGAACAATGACACTAGCACTGAAAAGCACCAGATATCCACGAAATCGGATTAACAGCGATCGCGCCTGAGTGAACTCCGATTACCGACCTGACGGCTACAATGCCTCATCCCCTTTTCATTGGTTACTGTATCAATCCTACACACACTTGGCTCCGTGACGCTAATAAACGGTCGTGTTCACTGTCGCCTCTTGTTCCACTCGTCTCGAGTTGTTTCGGCCTATTAACTGGAGGGTTGTAAGGTTTATGGTTTAAAGGTTTATGGGGTCTTCGCCACACACGTTGCGTGATAATAGAAGGTGTGAAAATGTAGGCTAGCGGCAGACAACGCCCCAAGAGATGACAATTGACGTTAATAGGAGTAAAGTACCACGAGGGTGGCACACCTGCGCGCCGGACTCTTTTAATACGCAAGAACGTATTAGCGATGGTTAACGCGACACTGTGCTCTTGTGGTTAGGCCCACGGGTGAAGTGTACAAACTCGGCACTTACTGCCTCGTCGAGATACGTGTCTTCGAGGTCGACTTCTTGGAAGTAGACCCTCCGGAACACCTCTTCCAAGGTTTCCACCTGAAAACGGGTGAGTCGAATGCCTGCAAGGAGTGAAAGACAAAGATCTGCATTGTACCGTGATGTGGCAGATCATGAAGACGTTTCTGGGGTTTTATTAGGAATAAGTGATTAGTACATAACAACCCAATCAATGCTCCAGGTACACCTGTGGGGCAGGACAAAGATTAAGTTGTAGCGTGATCATGCAGATGATGAAGACGGCTAAGAAGACCGTGTCCACGGTGGCACAGGTTTCAGCAAGTTGTTGGGGACTTTGAAGGCCTATCTTCTGATATCTAGCCAATAAGAAGTTGCCACGCTGATCTGCCTTCTAAGCGCCGTTGTGGCACTAGGGTGAGCAAGGTGAACAGGCACGGGAGCTATCGGAAAGAGGTGATTTACTAAAATGACTAGACAGGGAAAAGGTGGACACGACTAAACAAGCTCCACAAGACCGTCTATTTGCTTGTGGTTTCGGGGATCGAGATGAAATAAAAAAAGGAACCAAGATAAACCACCTCGTACCTCGAAGACAAAGTCGGCTGTAGCGCTCATTGCAAATGGAAAGGTCTATGCCCTGCAAGAGAAATGGGAGTGAAATGCGACTTGACTGAAACAGCACCGCGCTTAAAAAAGGGGCCAAGATTAAAATAGCCGTGATAAAAGAAGCTAAATCTTGGGGCGTGTGTGATTTCCACAACCTGTACGAGTGCGCATTATGTAGTAGAGTTGCCCACAGCACACGTGAAGATAACCAGGTAAACCCACTGCCCCAGTGGGAGATGCAATAATCTGTAAGGTTGCCCATGGCAACGGTGCCTCAAATGACTAGAATAACCAACCAAATAAACAAGGCTATTGTAGGAAGTGAACACGATTCAGAATAATAGAAGGGTCATTTAAATTTAGGAGAGCGAACGTAGACAACAAGTGCGGATTGGGTGGGCATAAAAAGGGAAAAATGTTGGCTATTTTTGCCACCTGAGCAATAAATTGGCACTCCCCCTAACGCCATGCCAAAGTTATTGGATGTTTTCGCAGGAGAACTTACCCTAAGTTGTTCTAACAGGAAATCGATCGCAGGCGCCTTGTACAACTTGCACGACGCGATGTATGCGGCAATTAGCTCATCGCTCGTGCAATTGTCGGGAGCTTAACACGAAAATGATACAGAAGTAAGTAGAGAATGGCGCCAGAACTGTTAAAATGCGTTAAAGAATAAATCGAATTCATTGAGACACAGCGCAATTGGGTAGATTACCGCATAAAAAGGGAAGTAGTGAGGCTCACTTGGGTGAAAGGGTTCGAGACAACCTAGAATGATTGAGTCCCCCTCGGGGAAATGTACTCGACGGCGATCGCTTGAGGCCTTCTGACGCGAGGGGACATCGTCAGGATCTTGTTCATTGTGCACACTTGCTTGATCCCATTGCATGATTGAGAAGGATACTTGCAAAAGGAAAGTCCACTGCGACGGACGCAATCTACTTAAAGCAGTAAGCAACAATGCCACTAGGCTGGGAGATATCATCGGCAACTTAAAAAATCTTGTTAAAAGTAGAAAGACACCCTTATGCAAGAAACACAACGTTAGTTTCTTAATTGCTTGGACCATGCAAATAACAAAGTGGTGTCAACAGGCTCTAACAAAATTATTACCATATCGGCAAAATTGGTAGAATTTGTAATAAGAACCAAATATCGATTATTATCGAGTTAATTTATACACGGATTTGGGACATTTCTGGAGTCTATTTGGCGGCAAAGACTAATGCACCATGACCTGAATATCATGACACAGACAAATTTGTTTCTGCAGCAGATACAAGTTCCCATGACACTTCACAAATCTGGAAAATCCCAGTGTGTCCTTCATTAGTCTACAAGCCCATACTGTTGAAAAAATTACCACAAAGCTGGTAAAGTGTCATCTAAGGTATAAAAGGTGACATTTAAATTTATGAAGCACCTATGAGGTTTAACGCGTAAACATTCGATGTGAGAAATGATTCACTTTAAAGATTATTCAGCTACCGACTTTCCAGTATGCTAAAATACTAGTTACTAACTTCTTTTGTCAAAAACATTCTTTACCAGGTGATGTTTATGAAAAAAACTATTCTTAACGACATCTCACTAAATACTGACACCATAATTGATACTTGATGGACACCATGTGGGAAACCACGACGAAGGGACAGAAACATGCAAAATGCAAGTACACGGTAAATAAAGCACCAACTACATTGATTTCCTTACCAGCATTGACCAATTAGAAAGTTATATTAATTTTTTCCTGTCAGTTTCCAAAAAACTCGGTCCGTTACTATTTAATTAGAAACGTAGCTGATATTTCCAGCCAGTGTAGTGCATACAAAAAGCAAAAATTGTTAGGTAATTATTGTTAAGCAATTATAGGAGTACCATTTACGCGATATAAATATAAGGTAATTCTCGAGAGAAGTTAACAACCTCAACTACTTCAAGTGTAGCGCTCCGATGATGAAACAGAAAAAGCATATTTGGCAAAACTGTTGCGAGGTTAATCTTAAAATGCCGGTTCAATAATAAATGTGAAAAAATACATATGCTATAGTTTGCGCGTCTTTTGTAATGAAACCAATGTACTTAAAAGGACCTTGCTCTCCTTGACTTGCTTTAAATGGTTTTACATTCTGATTCAAAAAACAGATTATTGTCATAGACGTTTTCTTCAGTTAGCACGCAATTTGCAGACAAAAATGAGTAGGAATATTGGTGAATTGAAAGAAAAATCTAAATTAGGTATAATTTATTAGTCTTAAATGTGCTTCACATTCGGGTATATTTTTAAATGCAATCGCGCATAACTCAATCTATTTGTAAAAAATCCAGTGTTATGTTATTTATTTACATGACCGTTATCACTATATTGCGTTTTTGGAGATATTCCTTCCAAAATTTTCCTATAAAATCGATTGGCTCTTATGTGTAGATATTTATTAGAAAGCTTTTGAAATTGACATTTTTTAAAGTAGCACATTGCATGCTATTTAACTGTTTATTTTTGTTAAAATTGCTTCTGCTTGTGCAGTTTTTTGTGTAACTAGACTGCACGCATTACTAATGTTGAAACACACCTTTCAATATTTGGATAAAATCCTTTCTATATATTTTACATAAATAAATGTACTGTACAGGCTTATTCTGAGAAAACCTTTTATTATAGTATATATTTGCCAAAAAATTTACTCAATCAGTGAGTTTAAACATGTTAGCAATCAATTCAAGGTCCTCGTGCTGCAAATGGACTTTTCGAATCGGATGAAATTTCTTCCGTTGGCCGTAGTATTGGGCTATCTTGCTTTTTTCATGAAAATAATATGCCATTGTCAATTCCTCTTTTGTCAGTCCTTTTCTTTATCTCTGCTTCGTCTTTGGCTAGCAGTACGTTATCCGTTAATATAATTAGCGACTGCAAGTTTCTGCAGATTAGAATCTAGTGGGCTTTTGGGCTCCTGTGTTTCGTCCTATACATGACTGATTACAGCCTATAATTATTTATATTTAATTGTCAATTTAAGTTTAATGCTTCTTGAAGTAATTCTGGTGTTATGTCACTTGCCCATTTCAGCACTGTCATTTTTTGGTTACAAAGTTGTGTTGCGCATGTCAGCTTGTGATTTTAATCATATGGTCGTTCCATCATCGATTCTATCCCTGATATTCTGGCAGAGTGTTAATGATTGTACTTTCTAGTAATCTGGGAAGCTCTTAGTTCATGTACGTCCATATTTAGAGATAGGGGTACTTGTAAATTCACTAAGTGACGGTAAATCTAAATGTGCACTAAATGAACTCTGCTACTCAAAAAATATCAAAAGTAAAACAAAACAGTGACTGAATTTTTTTTCTTTTATTTGACAAGAAGTCACACTTAAGAATCTTAAGGCTTTCGATATTATTGAGTCTCCCATTCGCGCAAACCATATTCCACTAAGCGTGACTTTTTCCGCTCTCGGCCGGTAGGTGATTTCAGCATTTATTTATGGTATTCTGAAGGAACTTTTCTTTTCGCCTGAATCCATCCGTCACACCACCGCAGAAAACAGAGGTCATATTATTTCAAGGTCAAAATGTATTCCAAAGTCATCAGGTTGACCTTCCAAATGAGTTTCATGGGTACCTAAATGACGAATCTTCTTCAAGAGTTTCCCTGCTGATCGGATCAAGAGGCGAATTTTACGCCACTGTTTCTACTGCAAAGGAGGTCTACATGTTCGAAGTATGGTGCACTTTTAACAACATTTTGACATTAACAGCCACTATCGTATTTCGAACAATGGTCCCACAGCCAAAAGGTCCTGGCTTATAGATTAAGCGACGTAATTTTGCCAAATATGTAACTCCAGATTTTAATATAAACTTCTCCTTCTAGGTCTCTTTCCTACAGCAACTTCCCCGATGTCAACAAACCAAAGTATTTGTCGTCCAGTAGCTCAAGACAAAAGCGTGGACTACCTTCTGAGAAACGCTTCTGCGGTCTCCATTTCATTGCCGACTACAGCTTTTTTGCTCACGTGGGGGCATTTGACTACGCAAAGACAGTGGACATTATCGTACGCAAATATCGTTGTCAAATTCTCTCCACTTAGGTTAAAACGCTTAACAGAGTTAATGAAATTTTCATGTCTACTGAATTTTTCGACATTGAAAACGGCAATGTGTCAAAAAGTGGGTATGGCTTTTACATCAAAGGCGTAAGCAATATATTCGCCAATTCAAATCATTCTACCTGTTCAGATATCGATTGAAACGAACGCCGGTTCAGTTCCTCAGGAGGCATTCTCTGCGAAAGCACTTTTAAGTGTAAGTTTCACCGTAAGCTGCACGTACCTCTAATCTGCTGCTAAAGGCGTTTCAATGTTACTGCTTCTAGAAATTCAGTAGAAGAAGCTTCGCTACCGCCTGTCTTCATCACTTTTTGACCTTCTCCAAGAACCAATTTGGTGTTCTGGGCATGTCATGGATGGCCAGTCCTGCATTGCATCATCTCGGAGGCATTTGCTCTTCAAGTAGTACGTCTTTAGCCCCCAAATCAAATTTTTCTTGAACATGCAGATGTCCACAACCGCCTAAAGTATTAAGTTTAAAATTCACGCGCCATTTCATTTTATCGAATCAGACGTAAGCTACGGTGAGTCCTACCCAAATAATTGTTACATTGTGCCTTCGGGTGAAACCGTCGGACATTTTCCTTGAAAAAGGTTAATGATTGAAATACCGGACCTTGGGGTTTTCGAACCAATCCGAGCCCGACACAAATTTCCGACATTTTCCATCCTCGTAGACTACGTGGACGACTCCAAGGAGGGTTCGATAATGCTGGCGCCCAACACCGGCTTCACGTCCTACTGCGATTCCGACGGTGCACAGGTGCTGAGTAGCGTGGCGGAACTAGTTACCGCACACGAGTTAGGACATTCGTGGGGCGCTCCCCACGACCCCGACACCCCCGAATGCAACCCGCGGGCGGAGGAGGGTGGACGCTACCTCATGTACACCTTCGCGGTTCCCGGATACTCGCCCAATAACTACGTGAGATTTTTTGCTCCCTTTTTGATCCCCAGGCAATCAAACCATGATCGAGGCTCTTGAAGTTCACGTTTGTCAACTGTAGGAGTTGTGTCTACTTGACTAGTTAACTCAGACGTCTTGTGGTCACTGTTCAGTCATTTTCAAGTATCGCTGTTGTAGCGCTTTTCACCGTGCAGTCGGCGCGCCATAAGCCGGTGCTTGGCGTCGAAGGCATCCTTGTGCTTCGAGGACACCAACTTTGCCCACGGACCGCTGAGTCAGTGCGGAAACTCGCGCGTCGACGCCGGCGAGCAGTGCGATCCGGGCAGACGAACCACAACCGCTTCCTCCTCCTCTACCAATAACACCAAAGATCGCTGCTGCACACGGACATGCAGGCTTGCACCGGGTGCGAAGTGCTCCCCGCTGAACCACCAATGCTGCACTGAATGTAAGACTTCGTTTGTGGGAATTATCTTGAATTTGGAACTCACTCAGTATCCAAAAATGTGTTAGGCTTCAATTGATCGATAATTGAAATCAGTCAGGGAGAAGCAAAACCTGGCCGAACTGTTCGATCACGTTGTACGACTTGTTTTTCTTCGATCAATGTTATCGTTTAAATATCGAGTCGTATAGCGTTTAATAGTTTTCAACCAGAACGATGCAAGCCCTAACTATTTACTCTAAGCGTACGTGTGCACGAAATGATTGGCTGTTTGTCTAACCAATGAAAGCTAACGTTGAGCGATGACTACCAATCAGTTTGAGGTAAACTTGCTCGTACAAAGTAACTGGCATCAAAGTGTACCTGGGACTCCTTGACCAATTGCAGATGGTATTTTTAGATTGATATGGATTTACAATTTCTCCTGATTAGCCGACGCACGAAAGAGATGCACACGAAGGATTCATAGGACTAATGCAACCCCACAACCTCGTGGACAGATTTCACTGTCTCAGTCCACTTATCCATGCCTCAACTAACATATGTAGGGGAAATAACCAACATGAAAATGGCAAATCGTGAGCACCGACAGAACATTGATAAAAACTTCAAATTGTCAATTTTTCGATGAGTACAAAGTTTCTCGGTATGCTGATTTCCTCAACAGTAGATCATCGTTTCCTCCTTCCTGCTATCAATCAAATAGCCTAATAAAACAGCGTTCAACGTGATTTTTGGTGTACACTTCATTCATCCTTTATTTTTTCTTTATCTGAGAAGCGTGCCAGTTGGCCAAGAAGGGGTCCTTGTGTGCTGAACCAGACCAGACGGCGTCTCCGTGCCTTTCTCCAGGCCACTGCGACGGCAAATCGCCGAATTGCCCGGGCCCTGTACCAATCACTGAACCTGGACCCCGTTGCCATGAGCACGGTTATTGCGTTAACGGCGTGTGTACCCCGTTCTGTTCTGGACTTGGACTTCGCACCTGCATCTGCAACAACGGTTCGCTATTTTGCCTAGCATTCACACAAATTGCTTGCTTTTATGGTAGTGTTTCCGATTTTTTTCCCTAGCTGAGGACTCCTGTCTGATTTGCTGCTCCTTTGAAGTTGAACTGACCAATGGCGAGCGTCGGTCAATGTGTCAACCAATCGTTTCCATGTCATCTGAAGTGAACCAATCAACGCGGGATATCACTCCCCTGAACACGAGTACTTGGTGTCTGTATCGCTTCTCCGTCTCGCCAAATGCGACAAGCAATGCCTCCAACTCAGAATACTTCTTTGTAGCCGATAAAGACGTCAATCTACCACCGGAATATCGAGTAGTGTCAGTCGCTAACTCCAGTGCTTACGTCCTAATGCACCTCGAGAACAATCGACCGTGTGCAGTCGGATTTTGCAGACAGGGGGTCTGCGTGGAATCGAGGGTGAGGCGAGTGAGCCGTTTGTGGCCGCTTTACCTCACAACCAGTACCTGGTGTAAGGTCTTTTTCCTATGTGCGTCACCGCTTGCCACCGAAATAGTCTATTTTCATAGCAGTTGTGTAATTTTACCCAGCCCGATTAGGTCACCAATGGGAGCCTAACATTGGCAGCACGGCGCATTCCAAAGACCAATCAAATTTTGGTGTTTGAGCGGTGGTTTCGACAATCTTGTAAGTCGGGATGGCTAGGATTACTTAGGTCGCCCTGAACGTGGGTATCGCGCTTCAGAATCCACATATTCCTCAAACTAAGGCATTAATCAATAAGGCACACACGCACGCACATAAAAATCAATGGTGTGTTGCAACTTCAAATAATTTCTTCGACCCTCTGAGTGTTCACGTCTGATGCGAAATTCAAGTTGGCCGACCAATAAGAAAGCAGGATAGGTGTCATCGACCAATCCAAACGAGGATGATTAATAATCATCTGTAGGAAGTTGTAGATCGCCAAGGCACAAACTACTACAATGAAAGTGGTTCTCCACTATGCGAATACTTTATTTTCCCGCACAATTATGCTTATTTTTTAGCAAGAATTTTGTGGGACAACATCGTGAGTGTCATTGTCGCACTGACATTTGTAGTTTGGGTCCCGTTGAGCTGCATCGTCAGACACTATGTAAGTTGAAACACTCTTCGCATCACGCGTTTCAGCATCACACATCTGATAAACTCTTTCATTAAAATGCCCGCAAAAGCGGTTCAAATCTGCCGTAGCGAGGCAGCATTTACTAAAACGAAAAATAATTGCCAACTAGATTGGACAGATATCGTGGAATATTTGAAGAACCCATTTAACTTTGGTTTTACTCGGAATGAATTTCCCGAGCGACGTACTCACATAAATGTGGTAGTGAATGACCCATCTACAGCCCACCAAACTCAAGTTAGCCGCGCGCCAGCTCTGTCCCAATCCCATTGGCCCACCCTGACCTTGAGTGGGTGTTTTATCTTTCTGTCTTTCAAGGCCTCCCGACGTGTGTACAATTGGCGCACTGCACAAGGTTTCGGTTACGAATTAGAAATTTCGTTTCATGAGTAAAATAATGCAGGTGTCACACCCATCGCTTTATTGATCCATGAGGGTCTATGTCGGGCCTCAGAGACTCATTTTCTTGCCTTTCCGATAGGATAAAAAACTACGCGAAGCTCGAGTGATGGCTGCTCAAGCAGGAACTCCGGCATCAGGTCAGGCCGCGACCCACACCGACCAGGTTTTTGTAAAAAAGCGACGATGCGCCACTGCTAATCAACGAATTTAGGGCGTCCTCTCTTTTTCTACGTACAATGACATTGTTCCCTGCCCCTGTTCAGCATATCACCCACCACATTTGCCTTGGTTTCCTTTGCTATTTTGTACGCGTCCACTTTAAAAAAACCAACCAATTAAAGTGCTGGAGTACATTGTGTTGGGTTTACTTCAAAATTTTGAGCACACTGTTTAAGCACAACAGTCCGCCTCATCTGCAGTGCTTCTTGTGTCGAAGCAAGTCGGCAGCGGATGGCTTAGAAGGCAGCGTTTTGCCACAGCGATCGCACCTGTTAGTCTTTCCCGCGTCCGCATCCTCTTCAAAGCCCGTGTTCTCGTCGGACGAGGGGTTGTCTTGTTGCTGTGGTTTCTCGCCTCTCCCAGCCCCCAAGGCCAGTGCGACCTGCCTGTGAAGACGGAGAGCCAGGTCTAGACAACCCAGACCCTCTGTCGTCTCGCTGGACTCCTCGTCTCCAGAATCCTCTTCATCCGCGCCACTGGCTGTGGGCTTTCTGCCTCGTGGCACAACTGCGCGCAGCCTGAAAGCAAATAAGTAGAACACACGTGGATGCAGCCGAATTCGCCACGGTAGTTTGTTGCGAGGACTTGGTGTAACCTTGATTCATTTTACAAAATTCCAATTTGCGGTCTTCAGATGAAAACCAGTTAGGGACCGCGAAATGTGGAGGGAGGTTCAACACACGCGGTCTGGCCACTGGATCACTCACTAGACAACTGAGCGATGGAAACTTATTAGTGATTGGTAAACGTGCTTTTTTGTGGGCAGAAACGTCCCACGACGCAGGTTTGCAAGAACGCGACAATCTGTGATTTTACGCAGTTGCCTCCTAGTGGTGCCACGATGCAGGGATCGGTTCATGTCGACTGAGGGTGATCTTCTAGTGGTCTACCTAGAGCTTTGCATACCTCATGCCGATTAATCTTTCGATTCTGTCATTGGAACGACTTGTACGCTCGACTGAAACCCCACAATAAGTAGCCATTCCATTTGGAATGACTGCTCGTATCTTGGCTTCGATTCAATAAGCCTCGTATCTGGGTTGACCGTGAGTTGAACTCGAGTCCCGTCTTTGAACACGTTCAACCTTCGTGGAGATGGTGCACTTTCATTCGAATGCTGATGAATTAACTCCTTCTTAGCCTTGGCTCTTCCCTGCTTCAACTCAACCCTGGTTTCAACATATTCTCGCCAGAATCACATCAATTATCGGCTCTCAACCAGCTCAAATAGCCACTGATACCTCCCAGAGATTATCGACCAATCGTCTTGCGCCGCCATATTTATCCTTAACCCTCCACACACCAATTAAAGCAACGTGTATGCATGGTTCAACTGTCAGGTATTGCTAGGTGGATGATTATTGCAGAGAAGTTTAAAAAAAGTAGTACTTACGAGTTGATGGTGAGGTACGGAGTGACCTGGAACCCGCCTTTCTCTGGGTTAACATGAACGACATTGGCTAAAACAGAGAACAAGGCAGGTGTATGGACCGGGTTAGAGACTGCAGCGAAGTGATTAGGGACCTACAGCACTCGGGAAAGCCAACAATCCCTACCACACATCCGTCAAACACGATTCCATCCACTGAGGGCTTACATGATGATGATGAGGAGGAGGTGGTGGTGGGTGCGGAGGGGACGGCTTTGTCTGTGGAATGTGTCACGAACATGGATTTGGCGTCGACCGCGTTCAATTTCCTCAACGTGTGCAGTCCAGAGGTCTTCTGGCCCAGGAAGGCGGCCAAGTTCTCGCAGAGTAGGCGTTGAAGCCGACGACACTCCAATTCTCGCTTGCTGGCCCTGTTTGTGTTCTCGGCTGCGGTCTCCTCTCTCTCCCGCTCCGTGAAACCGTCCTCCCCGCTCTGATCGGTGCTTCTTAACCGACGACTCTGCGATTCTACACGTAGGCAATTACCAATCAGCATTCTACTTGGTAATCCATAAATACATGCAGCTTATTCTGTAGAAGGGTGGGATCCGTAAACCATGCATAGAACGACAATATTAACGATAAGGTGTGACGCTGTGCCAATAGAAGTATACGTGGAGATCAGTGTCAATGACACCAAAAGAGGGCGTTAGTGCCGAAGAGTCGATGAGACATACCTTCAAGTTTGATTTGCAACAGCCGATCGAGGCTGGTTCGGAGCCAGATTGCAGCTGCCAACGATCTCTGGGCGGCCTCAGGGTCTAGCAGCTCAATCTCGATCCACCGATCGAAGACGAGTCTTAAAAGCACAGAAAAGACACCAGCTCCATCTCCATCGTCATCAATCTTTATTTTTCGCCAATATTCGGATTTGCGTAACAAAAAAAGCGGTGAATGGCACACGGATTCCAGTCGCGATTCGTAAGTGCTGACAGCAACTGTGCGCAAAGATGATTGGTTGGGTGTGGGGACCAATGAGAGGACGAGATGGGTGTGAAGGCTACCAATCAGCATGCGGTGAATCGGTTCGGGGTAAGATTCAATCCACTCATGAGGCAGAGTTGTCCAGATTATCTGATTGGTGTAACCATAAATGCAATTTGTCTAGTTAACCTAACTGCCCTGACGTTGCAACTACCTTGAACAATCGACGGTGTTTTTGGTGCATTAGTTGGCGAATGACCTAAATATAGTGCCATTTTTGTGCGCAAACTTTTAAGTAACTCGCAACAATCGACAGACCGTGACGCGGGGTTTTGAATCAAACCTCAACGAACCTGGTGACGTTGGCGTTGGTGTCAATTTCGCGGGCATTCAGGAGGAGAATCGGGAGGGCAGGAACGCGAATGGTGTTTACGAGGAAGGGCTTCGTGGTTTCTAGCAGGTCACTTGACAAAAAACCACGGAAAGGAGTAAAAATAGGGCAGATTACAATCCGGAATTGCACTTAGTTCAGCTTAATGACGATGATGATGATGACATGGACCAGAAGCTACGAGAACGTGGGGTTGTTCAGTCGTCAAAAGGAACAAGGTGGGAAATAGCTGACCGACTAAAGTTCATTCGCTGTCTCGAAAATGAGCTATTTTCCACCTGACAGAAAACTTTTATTATCTACTCTATAAGTTCCTGCGGATAATGACAACAAAAGCGGAGTATCGTAGTTGAGGGAGTAGGTGGCATAGGTTTGTGCTTTGGGTATGAATTAACCTACAGATAAGCAAGCAACTGGTGGTCTGTGGCGAACTGGCTGCCAACAGCCTTGTGTCCCGGTCTGGGTGGAGGGTGGGACGAAGGGGGACGTGATGTGGAGGCATCTGCGGCATCGCGGTCTGCTGGAGGCTCCTCACCGTCGCGACTGCGTGGAAACAGACAGTCTGGGTGTTTCACGAAGACGTCGTTCGGCTGCAGTGCCACGAAAGCCTTTGTCTAGATCGTGAAAAAAAGACGTATCGAGTTCGAGACCTGGATCCACGGTATGTCTAGGAACTATGTGGACCCACTAGCGGAAAGGCATTGGTTGGGAAGTTGTTTGTGCTTCTTTCGTGGTTGGTCAATTAAATCCACAAGGTCTAGTATCTCAATAGAACAAAATGAGGATTCCGGTTCATAGACCAGTTGTGGGCACCTTCCATGAAAGCGTGTGTGTGTAGGTGTAGACTTCCAAGCTTCAAATCGACTCACTGGTGTGTGGAAGACCATTTCAGCCCCAGGTCCAGCAGCCCCGCCCTTGTTGGCGACCCTGTAGGCGTTGGCGGGGTCGGGTACAGCGAGTTGGGGGTAGAGGCCACTAGCGAGGACAACCTTCAGCAGGAGGAGGTCGCCGTGGGTGCGTCTCCTGTGGATATCCGCCCACTCGGTGAGGCCATCAAGGTCGTGGCACAGGACGAGTTCGAGGTCACGGACAGAGATACCGGTGCCCTCCAGAGACCCCCCAAGGTCACCAACCTTGCCACCTTTTCGACCCGTCAACCAGCTGTGGAGGCGTGAAATGCTGGCGGCGTTCACTGAACCCCGCCGGTCTTCGTCATCTCCACTGTCTGAGTTGACAGCGTCTTCCTGAAAGTACAAGTAAAACATGCAATCTCGAGCAGCCAATCACGTGGCTTGAGGCAAAACCGCACCAACTCACATTATCCTGCAGGGTGAGCACTCGTTTCCGCTTATTCTTCAGGTGTTCCCTATGCTGGGCGTGATGCAGCGCCCGACGATGACCTGTTCCGGCCAACTTCTTCGACGCCGCTCTTTCCCCAGCACTGTAGAGACCCGCCTCGCGAAGCAGGTCGAGGAATTGTCCACGCAGACGAACCATCTCGTAGAGGCGTTGCTCTTCCAGACCCAGACGCCGAGCCCAGCGCTGGGTGGAATTGTGCTTGTCGTCGGCCCCGACATCCCCGACTCGGTCGTCGGTATCGGCGTCGCGTCGGATGAGACCCAGTCGAGCAGCCGAACGCGATTTCATCTGGTGTGTGGAGAACGAAGAACAAAAAAGACGGCTAGACGGGGCTTGGACACTCGTCCGACTTTATAAATTATCGATTAGTTAGAAGCGCAAGACGCAAGCGAGGAAGAGACGCGTAAAACAGCTGTTCACCTGGACCCACTCGTCGAAGATGTCGGCTATCATGAAGGGCGTGCCGTGGTCGCTTTCGAAGGGCTGCAGGGCTTCAGCTTGTCGAAGTCGACTCTCTCCGGATCTAGCGGCGCCAATTGGGTTCTGCACTGCGACGCCGGCGGCCAAATTGAGCACGGGCTCGGTCAGCCGAAAAAGCGAGGCCATTATGAGGATCCGACCAATTGCGAGGTCAACAGGCAGATCGGCTAGCAGGCGGCCCAGCGGTGTGATCGATACTTGATCCTCGTTGCACCTGACACCTGCCCCATGGGACTGAGAAGACACAGGCAAACACAACAAATCGATAATGGTCTTGGGCAAGGTGCTTGGATGCGGTATTGTCGACAAGGCTAAATGATGTTTTTGCAGGGGGGCAACGATTCGCCAAACACCAGACAGTGGTTTTGATTAGTTGGCAAGAAAGTAACTTCGGTTGTTCATAAAGTCCACTGATTCAAATTAATTCTGTCAATGGTGCATATCGATAGTGTCGAAAGTTGGTAGATGCCACTTCCGACTTATTCTGAAGGTCAACATTAGAAACAGGGAAGTTGTCGAGTGCTTGACACAAACCTCGTGGCGGAAGTCGTTGGTGAAAAACCCCATCTAGAGAGTCTTGTATTGAAGCTTCAACAGCGTTGTGTTAGTCGATCTCACGTACTGGATAACGACCAAATCAACCGCACAAGTGCGCGCGAGATCACAGAGGGGTTTTTATGTGTGTCATCCAAACACACACATACGCGCGCGCGACAATTAGAAGGAATTGGCGAAAATTCCCCTAAACACTGCCAACTAAGACTGGCGAAATGCATCTATAACGCCATGAAATCGCGCCACAATTTGAAATGACCAATCAGCGGTGGCTATGAAAAACCGAGGTGCCACCAACCACCACCCAAACCCACTGATTTACATCTAGAGATTTGGTAGGAGATCAGCACTTATTGATAATTAAATGGACACCAGAAGAGTTCTTTGAACGTGGGGCTGTCTAGCTGCCAGAACTAATGAGAAACGGGAAATGCATAATCGATTAACGCTCATTCGGATGGGCGAGTTTCGTTGGAGGAGCGTAGTGCTAGCAGCGGAATAGCTGATCACGTACCACGATGGTTTCAAGCGCCTCGTCAAGCGACTTCATCTCGGGTGGTTCGATGAAGGGGAAGCGTTTGACGTCTGGCAGCCCCATGGCCATTAGCTGGAGGGTCAAGAGGTCCAGTGGGACCCTGCGAATCTCGGGAGTGGTGAAGGGCTGTGGAAAGATTCGAAACAAAAAAGAACAAATTAAGGAAGGCGTTAACAGGGCAAAGTCGAGGAGATCTGACACGAAGGACACGAAGAAACACACAAGTCCCCTTAAAACTTGTCTCCAAAGGCAAAGACGGGATATTCAGGTGACTGCGGTCCATCACATTGTGGATTCACTCACTTGGAATTCATTGTAGTCTTCCTCTTTGAAGAACCTGAAGCATACACCGGGACCCGTGCGACCAGCTCTGCCTTTGCGCTGATCCGCGCTAGCCTTCGAGATTGCAGTTTCCTTCAGCCGACGCATTCGAGACAACGAATCCCACGTCAACTCATTCACGCGCCCCGAGTCGGCTACGAATCTAGTTCACGAGAAAGGAGAGAGAGAGAGTTAGGGGAGCGCACTGAGAGCATCTTGACAGACGCGGACGGAAGCATGGCAAGTGCTGTGGTCTTCGACACAAACAGACCTGATTCCGTCGATGGTAACCGAAGTCTCGGCGATGTTCGTCGCGAGAACACACTTCCGCACGCCGTCAGGTGGGGTGTGGAAGATCTTCTCCTGGGTGTAGGCCGGCAGGGCACTGTGAAGAGGCAGGACAATCCACCGTTTGGTTTGCTCCGCATAGGCTTTGCAAGCTTCCATAACGGTCTACAAGTGGCATCGGGGTGGATTGGTGCTGGGCCAGGAAACAACGCAGACAAAGAGGGTGCTATTGGCTTGGGCTAAGGCAGTAACAGAGGTACAATCACACAGCACGAGTGAAAACCGGACGTCAACAAGAAACCCGTCGTGATCAACTGGGACAAAACACTACGCTCCATATTCGGTGGAGTGGTTTCACAATCACCTGGATCTGGGCCATCCCGGCGAGGAAGACAAGAAGATCGCCGCGTTCCGAAATGGAATACGTGTTGTCGATGTGCTGCAACAGCCGCACGTAGGGGCCCGGGTCGATGCGGTCTTCAGAGGCGGCAATTTCTGCCGGTGTTAGTGGGCAGTACTTGACGGTAATCGGGTACAGACGGCCTGGAACCTGTGGCAGACAAGGAATCACTTTAGAAACTACCTTAACCGAGGGTTAACCTAACAACGCACTATCGGTAGTAACGCGCACTCCCACGTGGCTGTTTCTACACCCACCAATCGCGAACAGCGTGCGCATTCCATTTTAAGGGGAAACCATTCCACACCATTAGACGCTTCGCAGAGTCGTCAGGTGCAGAAAAATCGGGTTTTTGACTTCGCACAGCGTGGAACTGGATGGCTGTGAGTATTTAGCATATAATGCAATCAATTTTGTGAATCCGATTAGCAGGAATGGGGATGAGGGCACCACTCCTGTGCTTAGGTGGCCAAACATGAACCATAACCAACAAAAATTACCTCCAGAATGGGACAATTGCCGAAGAAGTTAGCGAAGAGGTTCACATTGATGGTAGCCGACATTAAAACAAGTCGCATCTCCGGTCTCGCCATGACAAGACATTTCATGAGACCCAGGAGACAGTCTGTCTGCCAGTGGCGTTCGTGAACCTTGGCAGAGGAAGGAAAACAGCTGAAAAGGCAGCCCAAATAGGAACGAGGTAGGTTAGACTAGGGCTCGTGACGAAAACTTGGAGTCTTCCATTAAAGGATTACAAGCGAATGACTTAGGCTTGGAGATACAAGGCTAGGCGCTCTCTAGAGACGTCCGACTTCCATCTGACTTCGTAGAAACGAGGACAAAGGCTCACCTCGTCCAACACAACCACGTCGTACTCCTTCAAAAAGGGGTCCGACTGCATCTGACGTAGGAGAAGGCCCTCCGTGAGGAAGAGGATTTGCGTGGCCTTTGACTTGTGCTTCTCAAAGCGGACCTACAACGCGCATGGCAAAGTTGAGGCGATTATTGCCACGATGTTAAGGCATATTTGTGCTAGTGTATTCTTTAAGGGCTGGCTCTTCAAATGCCAATTATTTGATGACTACTCTGCTTTATGGGGATAAATAATGCCTTTGGCGAGACGACGCAGTCTCACAGTGGTACCTACAGTACCCCGCCCCATAATGAGGCAGTGGAAATAGTGCATAAGACCCGACATCTCTAAGAAATTGGCGACTTAAGAAATGGGGTCTTCCAGATACAGCATCAGGCAAAAGCCCAGTTAACAAAATCACCTGGTAGCCAACTTTAGTGCCTTTCTCACAGAGCATTTCAGTGCTGACGCGAGCAGCCAAGCTGACACAGGCGATCTTCCGAGGTTGTGTGACAGCGATGCGCTTGAATCTCGGCGCGTCGTCGCCATTCGCCGCCTTCGCTTCTGCCAAGTATTGGGGCACTTGTGTAGACTTCCCACAGCCCGTGTCCCCGGCAACCACAAGCACCTGCTGCTTCGCCAACTCGGCCAGCAGAGGTTCACGAAATCGTGCTATGGGAAGGTTCTGGCGACTATTGTGCAGTCGTTTTATCTTAGCCCACTAAGGTGTCAAATAAGGAAGTTAGCAGGCCGTTCAACAGGATGACATACTCTTTGCTTCATCACAAAGTCCAGATACATGTCGAATATTAAATGCATAGCGAAGAGATTTCGGTCCGAGAGAGCGCTGTGTCGGCGTGACGCTAAGACTTAAGTGACATTGAAATTGAAGTACCTTCGGCCATCCGATGGCGCATATAATCCTCAAGGCGATAATTTCGGGTTTGCAAATTGAGACGCAAAATTCGGTCATATCGATCACTCCCATGACCGAAATCTACAACTTAGAGCTAGAGAAAGGGCGAGCAAAGAACCTGCTCGTGTTGACTGATTTAGTAGAAATGACTGCAATCTTTCAGCAAATTTCCAGAAATCTTGGAACTCCGAGGAATCCCTTGAAGTAAGGAAATGTCAAAATCGTGAAAGAATCCAACCTTTGAATTGCAGCTCGAAAGTTATTGGGGAAAAATAACTCCGTGAGACGCTTTTTGTGAGCCCGTATGTCGAAGTCAAAATCCTTATTTGTCAGTGATTTCCCATCATAAGTACACATTGTCTAAATAAAAACCAAAAATGTGATCAAGATTATTTCAAAAAGTTTTTAAAGAAATGAGAATCAAGTGCACGAAACACTTAAGTTTTCGCTTAAAAATCTAATCAAATTTTACAGGTAAAATCTTCAGGTGGTCAATGGAAATACTGAGGTTAGCCAGAGCATATGACATAATGACCATTCTGAATAACATCATGTGTGGTCCGTCGAATAAAGGTTAAAAGTTAGTTTTTTTCAAATATAGTTTTGATCACAAGTACACTCCGAAAATTGTAACACTGGAGAGCCACCAGTTTACATCGACTTAATATAAGTTTTATCACGAAGGTGGTCTTTCGATCTTGGTGGCACAGGCTCTTGACGATTCAGTCATACTTTCTTACTTTAATGAACATTTACGACGTAATGAGTGTTTGCCCGAAAAGCGTTAAGACACTCAGTTGGAGGAACATATGAATAATTGAATAATATCAACTGCACATACGACCTCCGTTTGAATACACTAACAACGAATCGAATTTCAAAGCATAGACGTCACTAATCAGTTTTACATGGAATATCGATTCAAATTATTTAAGATGAGCGTACGGAACCATTTAGGGTTGCATTGTTTGTTAATGGAGCCAATGACACGGTCAAGTGTTAGACGATTTCGTTTTGATACTAGGTTAAAAGGAAAAAAATCGCAGCTTCGAAATGATTCTGAAAGAATCAACTAGAGGGCTAACATCATAATGCTACCTACTTAAAACACTGCGTGGAATCAGCCCAAGGTAAGTTCATCATCTAACTGAAGACTGATTTCGCTTTGATAATAGAGAAAACATGGACAAAAACGGCAGAAACGGATAACTGGTTGAAAAAGTAATTATTTCAAGATATCCTCAAACATTTTTTTTTTCATATTTTGCAGAAAAAGGTGTTTAACTCGAAACCATAATATATCTATACTGAATAGGTGGCACTGCATACTTATACATAATCCCAAACTCGCTCATAATAAACATACAGGTTACAAGCAGCTTTAGTGAATCATGACCTCATAATAAATCCAATGAGCTACGGGCAAAATAAAATTAGCTAAGACGTTCATTGACTAATTAATAAAAATCGTATTGAGAAATGGCAGACAGCAAAATTGCGAATTGCAAATTATAAAAAAAGGTTTTTAATTAAAATATGGTTTATTAATTCCCCAAAAAGTATTGAAAAACCTTTGTTTGAACAAAAGAACAGGTATTCTCTAAAATATCAGCGACACACAATGTTCCAATTTTCTGTGTAACTACAATGATTTCACCACAATACTCAAGCTTTCAAGTTATTGCTGTTACTCTAAATATTAAATAACATTGCGTACTAAAGTTTTAATCATTCAACACATGCTAAAAATTAGAGCAATGCATTTCATTCGCTAATCGAGTTATAGTAATAAATATTCCAACTGTATTTTGTAAAGTTGTGTGAAAATTTTTCGCAATAATTCTAATTATTAATTTGGATTAACTCTCTCCGATGGAGAATAAATTAAATAAATCCCCTAGATCCTGAAATAATTTCGCATATAAGTTTTGATATTAGAGTTTCAACAGAGTGCTGAAGATAGAAAAACGTGTTAGACACAGTAAAGTCAAACAATAGCTAGCAACAGAACGAATTGAAGTAATGCTGGATTTCCAGGCCTTCTTTCCAATTCAGGAATGGTGCTCACAAACAACCAATTACTGTTCCTTTTTTATTGTTAATTAAACACACAGTGCCGATTTTCCCTTAAACGTACATAGCATGGCTGAATACTTTTCTAGTATTCACTATCCATCTGGAATAATAACATATGTCAACAAATTGCATTAAGTGATTCTTCGATTTTTTTAATGAGGAAAAAAAATTAACAGTTTTCCTTGAAAATATAAAAGGCAAATTATTCTACGGGGTCTTTGCATCTAAATATAATTTTTTGTGGGACTATTTACATTAAAAGTGTATTTGTTGAGGCAAATTTAATTTTTTTCTAATGGACACATAAATAGCAGGTTAGAGCACTTGTCACAGTAATTAATTTTTTAGCATTTCCAACCAGAAAATCTGTTAAAGTATTTGGCTCCGAACGCGAACAACAATATTCGAATTAAATTCCGTTTTGGGCATAAAAAGCAGTAGAACCGTGCCAATAATGCAAGCAGATGTTCTTTTTTGTAGTTTTTGTGCTCATTGTCGCGTGACTGTAATAACAACCATTTAAATTTCCTTAAACATTATGAAAAGTTTTTTTTAAGACATTTAAACTAAAATTCTTCAAAAATAAATCAAAAGCGCGACATATGTTTTATTTTTTGATCTCAATCAAAACTTTACAAGTTTAATTCATTTATTATTTCTGAAACATTTTGCTTACTTTAGTTTTATCCATCCACTGTGATTTAAAGGTGGCTAGGGGTAAATTCGAGTCAACCAATCTGAATCGGACTTGCCTTGTTCATGAATAGGTTGAAGTCTTTCAAAAAGGCGATTGATGATGTTCGACAGGGTAATGAGACTGCCCTAGAAGCCAGTAAAAAAGAACTAACGATCATTCCGGAACTTCCTGACTTGGGTAGTTTCTGTTAACATCTTTACCTCCCTCTACAGCTACGCTTACGTATTTAAAGTCGCTTACCCTCTCCCACAACAAAATTCAAGGTTAGCACTACTTTTTTGATGCACTTTTGTAGAAATTCCAGATGATATTGTTAGTCTTCAGCACTTGGAACACCTAAATCTTTTCAACAATTGGATAACGGTATGATGTAGGGAAATACTAACAGGTGTAGGTTATAACACCCAAGATATCAGAGTTACGTGGACTTCGCTCTCTTATCCTGGGAATGAATAGGCTAGACGCCCTTCCGAGAGGATTTGGTGCATTTCCAGCCCTTGAAGTTTTGGATCTGACATATAATAATCTTACGACTTTACCGGATAATTTCTTTAATTTGGGAACGTTACGCGCTCTCTACCTGTCTGACAATAATTTTGAGTATCTGCCATCAGGAATCGGAAATTTGTCCAACCTCGAGATTGTAAACACCTTCTCGATTAACGACTTTTCGCTTAGCTCGCTTTGAGGGACAACGACCTTCTTTATCTCCCACCGGAAATCGGCAAGTTGACACGATTAAAGGAGCTTCATATCCAGGGAAATCGGTTGACAGTCCTGCCTCCTGAATTAGGTATACAGTCTTTACTTTTTTAAATTCCAAATCCTTCTCAATTAGCCACTTTCTGTCTGATCTTGTAACTACTTTTGCTTGTTTTTACTTTGGAAGTTGATGAATGTTGCGGTCCACATTTTCAAGAATTTTTTATAAATTTGATACCAAATCTTTTGATTTGTTTACTTTCTTCGTGAATATTGCTTTACTGACTGCTTTGCAAAATGTTCAGAAGATTTGATACCGATATTTGATATTGCTTTGTAACCTGTGCAATTTTTCTCCCAGGAAATCTGGATCTTACAGGACCTAAACAGGTTGCAAAACTTAGTGGGAATTATTGGGTATCACCGATTGAAGATCAGCTACAAGTTGGATTGTCACATGTCTTCGACTATATTCGATCGGAAACGTACAAATTGTAAGACGTGTGACATTGTCTGACCGGACTTCATATTAACCTTGTTGAGTATTTGTCGTCTTCTTCTATATTAGTGCATATTAGCATAATGGTAAACGTTTAAACGAAATACTAGACCACACTATTCCATACTTCGACTTGGTCGACATTGAGGTGACCAATTTCTCAACGCCTTTTGTGATAATTTAAGTCATCGTGAAGAGTAACCGGGCCTCGACTCGTTGTATAGCTCAAAAATGTGACTAGCTTTCAATTCAAGGCCAATCCCTGTTTAAAGTTGATTTGAAAACATACCTGGGTTGCAGATCCACCTAAGTATCGGCTTCAAGTGAAGGAATGTGGTGGTAAGTACACATGAAGAAAGGCCAATTCCCGCAAATCTGATAAACGATCCATTTTATTAACCAAATACATAACTATCCTTGACGTACTTTTTGAAGCGATAAACTGTATCGAATTCTTTCTTGGAAGGATCGATTTCAAGAGTGCCATTTTTTTTATCATGAAGACCTTTGGTGGACCACAAAATGTTAGTCTTTGCCTCCACTTCGAGTTAGCAGTGGTCCACAAGCAACTAACAGCGCATCAATCGTAGGTGTCATTTTATTCAATTCCAGTACCTTCGTGATTCTTTTGTTGTCAAGTAGGAATCCATGATTTAACTATGCTATCCACAACGGATAACATGTATCACGTAGTCGCGTGCCCCAATGTCCCGAGTGTTCTTCTCCCTTGAGTGCGTGTTGTGAAAGCCTGTGGTATGAAACGTCGTGTTTTTCACCCTTTAGTCTTCACGATCGGCACCTGGCAATGGACCCACAAGTGCCACCGAAGGCGGATCACTCGAAGAAGATCAGCCGTAAACGCTGACCCAGCCTAACAATGACCAGCCTCGCTACTATGCCTGCTTCGCAAACTTTCATCTCTTAACGATTGACATCAAGAGCGACTTCTTAACCGGACAATCGACTTTAATACTCAACTGTCCCCCTAGTAATTTTATTCTTGTGACGCTTTTCTTGTCTTTCCCTTTGGCTAATAAATTCTTCGCTGAATTGCGTAAATGCTGCGTTTTCTTCATGCAGTCTACTCCATACATTTTCGGGCTTGCACAAGCCAAAGAGCATGACAATCGTGAACTGTTCGGATCGACGACGTTAGATTTTCGGCGTGGGAATCGATCGCCAGCAAGAGGAAGGGTTCAGGTGATAATCCACTACAAATCTGCCTTTAATTTACTGTAGTTATCCCCAAAACACTTTCTCTTCCCTTGCCGCTGAAGTCACTATCCCGACTTCTACCTCCAATGACCTTGGGCCGTTAAGTCCACAAAAAGTGACCGTACCGAGTTTTAAAGCTCAGGATGCTTCTATACTACTGGGGTTTATCTTGGGTTCCCCCCCCCCCCGGCTATCTAAAATTGCATTACTCTCAAGCACCATTTGATACCAAATTTCAACGACTCACACATTTAAAGCACAGATGGGCAACCACATACAGTGCAAGATGCTTATCCGTACGTGAAACCGAATCACACAATACCACCCCGTTTCTGCGGGACTGTTTAGATTAAACCACGTGTGCGCGTGCGTGTGTGTGCCACGATGTTATGGCACTCCCGCATGCTTTGACACGACCGTAGCACTGACGAATCGCGGGTGGGGGCACTGGCAGTCGCCTGCTTCAGCAAATCTTATTCAAACAAACAGAAAGAAAGCATATGTGATTGTCTGTGGGCCGGGTCGCTTCGACAGCCGGCTATCATAACCACCACTATCGTCATCATCATCACTTCGACGGTGACGCCGGGAGGGCGAGTTTGGTGTCGGCGGCGGTCCTCGGACTGAGGCGGACCTGGTGGTCGACCGGGTGGGCGGTGCGCAGCGGTGTGTAGAAGGCAGTTGGGCCCGAGAGCGATGAGTCATCGGTCCCGTGGCCACTGACCTCACCCTCCACCGTGACAACTGACTTGAGGAAATTACTCAGTGGAACTGGATTCACAACTGACCAATCAGTGAGAGCGTCCTGCAAAACAAGGCAAACGTTGCAACGACAAGTGCATTTGGTCGAAGTTGCTTTTACGATTGGAGTGACTAAGCACATGTACCAACCACAGCAATTGACCTCAACCGTCTGAGTACGTTTCAGTGAGCTTCAACAAGTCCTCTGCTTCAGCGACTCCTGACACTCGACAAATGTCACTTTTGGCTTACTTTCGAGGCAAATCGTGTGTGATGTTGTGTACAACTGTTAGTTTATGGTAAATTTTAATTGTTGATTTCGGCGAATTCGTGTTACCTGCTGAGTTTCACAAAAAAGTGTACAGTGCTGATTGTTTAAAACAACGCGCGTGCCATAAAACGGTTACCAAACTGGTTCCACAGATTCGTCGCTCAAGTTGAACTGGACTTCGATCATACAACTGTGTGTGTGATCGCAGAAATTTGGTTAGATGTAGTGCACAGGCAATGATTTGAATCGGATGAAATTCATTTAACACTGCCTACTGATGCCTCCGATAGTACTGATGAGTAACCAGCCCAGATCGAAGCAAAATCTTCTAACGCACTAAACATAGCCTGGGTTATCAGTTTGCAGGGGTTTGCGAAATAGTTAAGGAACTTGAACTGAGTTCATGGAACCAGATGATCTTTTCAGAAGTTTACTTGTAACAGCTAACGAAACAGACATTTGGAAGCGATGAGAAGGGCATAGTGTTCCGCATGGACACACCAATCGCTTCTATCTCGTTGTGGAACGCTAATACCACGTCCTCCTTAAGGACATAATCGTTTGAATCAGAGGAGGCTGCTTTAAGCAGAAAAAGTTCGCACTTCGATCGACTGCTTCCAGTGTTGCCCTTGCCTCGTACGTCGGCTTGCACTGGACCAACGGAACATCTCGTGATTCTCTGGTTGTAGAAAAGAACGCGTGTAACCGTCTTTCCATGCAGGGGAGCAATTAGCCTCCCCAGATTCCACCTGCAGTACAGATTCCAGATGTTCACACTCACGACGTGAAAAATCAATGAAGCCACACTCGAAGTCTTCTCAGAGTACTTGATGTAGATGTGGGACTCACAGTAGCGACTTTGATCAAAACGCAGCACGCGCAAATTCACACACTCTTTCCTGAGAAAACGTTTATTGGTCATGCTTGGACAGCTGATCTTCTGACTAAACATGACATTGAGTCGTTTAAACGAGATGAATTGTTATCACGACAGACAAAACCCCATTTGGGTATGCAGCAGTCGCTAAAACTCATTGTGCATGAGTTTTGATCATCAGGCTTCTGAACTTACACGAATGCACTCCTCCAAAGCGCGTTTTTTGTCCACATCGCAGACAATGTCCTGGCAAATCTCGAAACGCCCTTGTGGTCGCAGGGTGACGGGAAAGGAGAAGGCCATTCCGGTCGGCAGTCCGTAGAGACCTTGGCAGTCAAAAAGCCACTTAGCGACAAGCTACGAATTCTCCTCAAAAACGCTGTCCAGGTAGTGTGTAATGTCTCCGAAGAATATGACAACTAGGGTCAATGATTCGTGGAATGCAATCTCCAAAAAGCTGCTTGTATGTATTGTATATCGGTTAGTGTACAAAAAACTTATGCAACGAGAAGCGTCTTTGTGTCTACGCCCATGCTGATTGGCTGAACAATGCAGCAATCATTATTTGTGCTAAAATTATTCTGAATGGCTATTAAAGACTGCATGGCTGTGACCTCATAACATGGTACACAGGAAGGGTAACTGTCGCGATAACGTCACGTAACCAAGAAACTGTTATGGAAGCACACCTGACTCGTAATTGGTGTTGGGAACTGAATTTTGATTGGTTCAATGAACATTAATCATTCTATTGGTGTTTGGAAGTGAATCTTAATTGGCGTGGCCGTGGACCATTCAGATTTAAGCAATCTGTTCGAGAAAAATCAAATTTTAAAATTAACGCTAATTACGTCAACCACGTTCAAATAATTTAAAACAGCTTCCATTGCGTTGTGTGGATTTTGGGATTGAGTTGAGTTGAGTGGGTTGAGTGGATTACTTGTCAGTTTGAAAAACTGCATGACAGAATGCTCACAGCCCTGAATTCACCTAATGATACTTTCAAAATTCAGAAAAATTATGACAAAATTTTTGCATATTCCCGTAGGTTTTGGTGGCGAAGGTTTACCCACCCTGAAATAGCTACGTCTAGATAAAGTTAGAGTGCATTCAAACGTAGAATTAAGATTAAATTAGACCGTATTGCCACTTGATTTTCATCACCACGAATTCTGGATTAATGTGTTCAGTTGAAAGTAAGGAAATTATCCGTGCGAGACCATGGAACAGATCTACATCTCCAAAAGTCGAGATTTGGTTTAAAGACTAGGAGAAAATGCATATTAGCTTCGTTATCATTGCCACAGCATTCATCATTTAATGGAGAGGAAGCACATGGGTGAACAGGTTGGCATGCAAAAACTCACCAACTGATGAGACGACTAACGAGGCGATCATCTCGTGGGGATGCGGGTGGCCAAAGTGCCACTCGTCGATGAAGCTGAAAATCGCAGATGCATGGCACAGAGCAGCCTGGTTTGTGCTAGGCGACTTCAGCTCTTCCAGGGCGCTCGGGAGCACCTTCGAATAGAGCGCCTCCTTGTCGAAGATCAGCGGTTCTGCTGCCAGATTGAACCACGCGGGTCCGGTCTCGCTGTCGGCTTGGCCGTGACGCCGGTACACTCGTGCCTGCGAAATGTCCGCAAAAAAGCAATTGTCAATGTTGCCCCACAAAATTAAATCAACGAGATCGCAGCGGTGTACACCAAGTTGGCGTCCGATCGCAGCCTTCATGCGATACTCCAGGGCGCGTGGCAGCCCAACTATGTTGTTCACTGGGATCTTATCCTTGCACGCAACGTGCAATGACTGAACGTCGAAATTGAGAGGCGCAGCCACTGACTCTGCGCCCTCAAATAGCTGCAAGGATCCGGCTACGATGACCTTCACGCTCGGCTGCGCGTAGGTCTGAAGGTGCTCGCCCAGCTTGTAGAAGAAAGCAAATCGCCGATTCAGCCAATCAGCGCGCGACTCACGGGGTCTGGCGACGCCGTCCACTATGACCTCCTGCTGTCTTGGCACTACGTCCAAGATAACCACCACTGAGGCATCAGAGACGGCATCGGCTATACCTGTGGATATTTTAACCGTGCGAACTCCCCAACAAGCCGATTCTTCCAGGGTTTCTTTTAGCCCCTTGATCGCTTGGAGGTTTTTCAGGTTTCCCGGGAACAGGCAAAGACTCACTTTGCCTTCATCGTCACTTTGCCGCGCCATTGCAAGCATCATGCAAAGTCTGGCGGCCGTGGGCGATTCAGCACCGACTATTGTTATGACTGGATGCATTTTCTGCATCACCTTTTTGACAACATTTGCGGCGACAGTTTCCTCCGTCCATCGTTGGTTTTCCTCGGCTATCTGCAGGAGCTTCTGACTGGTGAATTGTGACAACTGGCCGTAGTAAGTGAACACATACTCCTGAAAATCCCTAGCGTCGCCAATTAGCGTAGTCATGCCTCCCGTGTCGACGCATTCACGCCAAATGATTGGTGAGGCCATCTTTGGCCAACCGTGTTTTTTGGCGAGCCTTTCTGCATAATTCTACAAACAGCATGAGGCAATTTCACTTCACCTTACTTGCCAGTCATACGGAGGTATTATAATCTTGGTGAGAGAGAAGTTTGGCAAATTACGCTCCAGCTTGTCACCCAAGAGTTCGCAAGTCGCATATAGAGGACAATTGGCAGAGCCTGAAAATGCCACCAAACTTAAAATTAACTCGTTACCACAGAAAAAAAATGTATTTATTTTAAAAAAAGTTTGCAAAGCGCGCTGAGTTATTATGCTTACTATGGGTGCTAGCTGCATGCCATTTGCTGTGTTATTTGCAAAACGCCAGGAACAGGGTCACTGTTTAATTGATGAAACAGATGCCAAATTGAGGTTCCACCATCAGCGAATATTTTTAACCTGATTAACCAACGAATTATATTTACTTTTGGAAAAAATGAACTGACCAATGCTTCTACCTAGTAGGATTTGTATAAGATAGCCTTCTCGTGTGTTTACTAGTTTTATTAAATTTATTGATTAGATGAAGTTTCATGGTGGTTTGATTGAAAAAAAGTGTTACTTTAGACCGATTTTTACCTCCAGTATTGGTTTCTATTTTTTACGACCCGTCAAAATGTCGTCAAAAAGAGGCATATTAAGTTGATGCACACTGAAGAGGCGAAATCATGACATCTCCTCCATCTCCTCGTCTTTTAATAGCAAGCGCAACTTGTCAATGATGTTTTCAAACACGAAAACTATTTTTTTAAGTGGAGGTGCGAATGTTAATGTAAACGATAGTGACCTAGCACAAAATTGACGGAAACACGGCACACACAGTGGTGCCTAATATGTTTTTGGATTGTGTATGGAAACTAATGATTAATCCAATCATTAAATATCAATCATCAGGCAAATTACGCTAAATCTGAGTTATGGACAGACGGGTAAAGCTGAGATTTCAGCAAAATTTTTTTCAAGATTTATGGCTTTTTGCTAAAAACGCACGCTAATAAACACAGCAAACTAAGCGAATACTTGTATTATAAGAAGAAACATCTGTCGATTACTGATGTCCATTTAACCAACATTTGCTCTCAGCAAATCAACTGACATATATTAAATATAACGCTGATTTTTTACTAAAACCCATTGGGCTGGAAATACCATTATTTACATACTTTTGAAGTTCTTTTTTGACCCTAAAATAAAATTAATTAGATTTTTACAAAGCAGCTAAGCAAGATGCCAATGATTGTAACCTCAGCTAAGGATACAAGTCTAAGACTAATTGTGGATGAGGTGGAATAAATAATCTTTACTTTAAGATAAAGGTGAGGCTTCAATGAAATTAAAAAGACAGATTTTAACAAATAATAGCAAGCAAAATTAAAGTTACCCTTAACCAAAGGAGCCAACTTATTGCCAAGCTTTGCAAAAAAAGCGAGACTTCTTCAAAAGACTCATTTAAAAGTTATAAGCGTGAGTAAAATAAAAGGC